CGCCCCTTCCCCGCCTCCTTCCCTCCCCCTCTCCTTCCGGCCTTTTTCTAATCACAAAGGGACTGAAAGACACACGGAGAAAAGTATGTGTAGCTTCCACTTGCTCTCATCACCACTATTGACACGGGGCTTTGGGCACGACCGTGTCTTGTTAGAGACTTCGCTTTGCTGGCAGGTGCTTGGTAAGGAGCAGGGCGATCGCCGCGACCGTTTGGGACGAGTCCCCTCCCCTTCCTATGGAACTGTGTTCGGTACAACTCAGGGCTCAAGGATATCCACCACCTGCTCCTTCTTTTACGGCTGCGCTGGGGACGGGTCAGCCCAGCTACCTGTACCTGGTGGCAGCAGCACTCGTGTGCTCTGTTTGGTCCCTGAGGGCCACAGTTACAGGCATGGAGTTCACGGTTCAGGCCCCGCCCGCCACTAGCAAGGGCATGCCTTGGTCAAAGGGGGGGGGACGGGGCATGCGCGTGAGGCTCAAGAGAAACTAACCACCGTGGCTACTGGATGGTCAGTTCAGTGCTCCCGCTGGTCTGGCACGTGGCATCTGTTTTACACACAAAGGAATTATGGCTGGAAGGGGTGCTGACATCCCCACACACTTGGGAACTTTTCATTTTCTAAAAGTCAATGCTAGAAGCATTATAAATGTTGGGGCTTTAGAAACATAAAGCCTCTAACTAGAAACCCCTTTGTCAGAATTGTGTAAACTGCAGCGTGGATGAATGCTCTGTCCTAGGGCTTGACGGGCAGATGGAGGACAAGTATCTCTTTTTTTTTTTTTTTTTGCGGTACGCGGGCCTCTCACTGCTGTGGCCTCTCCCGTTGCGGAGCACAGGCTCCGGACGCGCAGGCCCAGCGGCCATGGCTCACGGGCCCAGCCGCTCCGTGGCACGTGAGATCCTCCCGGACCGGGGCACGAACCCGCGTCCCCTGCATTGGCAGGCAGACTCTCAACCACTGTGCCACCAGGGAAGCCCGACAAGTATCTTCTGATCAATCACAGAGGTAACGTGGAGAATGCCTTTAAAAATCTCTGCAAGACCCCAATTCTCAACTTCAGAAAAACACCCGGGAAACCAACTGAAACGACACCTGGATCGGATCTGACACCAGCGAATCAGCAGCGCTGAGGCGGCCGTGTGATAAAGGGGGGTCAGCCTGCCGCCACCGTTGGGATCTAAGGGCGCCTTCCTGTGGCCCGAGGGATCCGGTCACCACGCGGCTGCCCGCAAGGTCACATCCATGTTGGCTCTTATTATTTCTGAAAGGAGAGGCCATGTGCTTTCCAAACAGGACTTTCTAAACTGTCTTCTTAGGAATATCAGAGGTTCACGAGCAAAGAGCCCTGTCCTCCTGGCTTTGCGTGTGTTCATGCCTTCACTCCCGACGTGGGTAAAAGTCACGGACGGTCTCCTACAACTCTGCCCGCCCCCGAGCCCCCGTACCAACAAGGTATGGGATTTGGCCTTGTTCTGCCCAGCGCTTCACCCACGTTAATTACTCAATTAGGGCACAAAGCTGTAAGGGCACAAAGCTGTAATGCAGTCTGCCATGACTCTGGAGCCGTCATCTCATTATTTTTAATTCGAAGATTTCACTTATTGCTTCTCCGAGGAGATAAAATGGCAGAAAGCGAACAAAGAAGCCTTGTGTGGCATCGCAGATATGTGGCCTCAGAAATCAGAATTATTCCGTCTGAGTCTCAGTTTTCTCTTCTGAAAAATGGAAACAATAGCCTACCTTGAAAGGCAGTTTTGAGGGCTCAAAGCGCTACCATCTTTCAAATGCCTAAAATATAGTCTTTACTTAAAGTGCAGGAGATGTTACCATTCTGGTTTAAAGAAACTATGGGGTCATAGGCACTTTACTCTGAAACAACACAAAAATATGTCATAGATTCACCCCATCTAGGTCGAGAACTTTTTTTAAAACCACTTTCTCCATGATGATAATTTAATTAAGGGTAACCTCTCGCTCCCTCAGATTCGGTTTTTCGAGATGAAAACAGGGCATCTTCCTCCCCCAGAGAAGGAGAATCTGAGGCTCAGGAACCCGGAGGGAGAGAAAGCTCCACCCCAGACAGGGTCGGACGCTGAGACAAGGAATCTACGCCGATTTCCTCTGATTTGGGGGAGGGTTGGTCTAGGTCCTCTCAACAGTAGGGAATCGTTTTTCCTCCCTTTACCGTAATGAAGCTTTACGATGAAAGGGTGATTCACTTCTGCCAAAATGTCTCTCTCCATCTTCGATCTGACTCGGTCCCGAACTGCAAGACAGAAAAATCGAAGGCTTTCAAAGGCAGGATGTGAAACACAAGACATCAGATATAAATAATTTCCCCCAACTTTTTGTTACAAACTTTTCAAACATACACAAAAGTTGAAAGAGTAGGTTGAATGACCACCCCTAAGTCCTCCACCTAGATTCAACAACTGCTTACATTTCGATACATTTTCTCTCCCCCTCTCTCTATCTCCCTCTCTTTCCACACACATACACACATTTTAACCACAAATCTGACAATAAATTGTCAACACTGTGACATTCAACGCCTAGGGACATTTACATGCAGCATTCCCTAAGAACAGGGTAATCTCTTACATAACTCTAAAGCGACTGTCGCCCTGAAGAACATTCACCATCATTCCATAACATCATCTAATATCTGATCCATATTCCAATCCTGCCCGCCCTGCCATGTCATTTATAGCTGTTATTTTTTCCAACCTCGGATTCGGTCAAGGTTCACACGTTAGATCTGGTTGTTATATTTCCTTATTCCTTTTGCTTCTAGAATACAATGGTCCCGCACCTTTTTTTCCCCTGTGCTTTTTGTGGGCTTTTTGGTTAAGTCCAGGTCAGTTTTCTTGTAGACTGTTCCTACGTGTGTCTGATTGTTTCTTTACTGGTTGCTCTAACTCCTATATTTCTTATAAACCGAGGTTAGGTCTGGAGGCTTTATAAGGTCGAGGCTAAACATCTTTGGCAAAAATACCTCCCAGGTGATGCTGCAGGCCTCAAGGTGCAGCAGATGGGGGGAGGGGTGCCCCGTTACCCTTGCTCAGTGATGCTAAATTCCACTGGGTCAAGGTGGCAAGTCATCAGCCTCTCACTGCAAAGATGTGTACATCCCCTTGTAAGTAACAAATAACGTGAGGGGTGATAGTTTGGTATGGGATGACCTGTGGGTTCCCTTACAATCCTTCACCCGTTAGCTTACGTATATGATCCTTGCTTATACGGATCAAGGATGCTTGAGTCATTCAGGGTTACAAAATGGCAATGTTCTCATTTCTGATGGGACTAGAAATCAAGAGGAAAATCCCTTCTCTTCCTCTTCCTGAGGATAACTACGGATTATGGATTTTTTTAAAAAAATAATATTTACAATATTATTCTTTTCAGTGCTGACATTGCCTAAAGTTTAGCCATCTGGGAATACAGATGGGATTCGTTTTGAGGAAATAATAAACCAAAAAACAAACAAAATCACCACCTGAGAATAAGAACAACTCCAAGATTCCACAAGCAAATTGGGACACCCAGGGCAATGTCCGAGTGACGTCCTACGGCCCCACGTGTGTGAAGGCAGAAACTTTCCTCAAATATTCCTAAGCGTGACAAGTATGATGAACATTACCGTATGGACTAGGTATTTAAGTCGTTCATACTTTGGTCTTATGATATGTACTTTTAAAGTTTTACTTAAAAAGTCCTTCCCATGGGCTTCCTTGGTGGCGCAGTGGTTGAGAGTCCGCCTGCCGATGCAGGGGACACGGGTTCGTGCCCTGGTCCGGGAGGATCCCACATGCCGCGGAGCGGCTGGGCCCGTGAGTTATGGCCGCTGAGCCTGTGCGTCCAGAGCCTGTGCTCCGTGACGGGAGAGGCCACAACAGTGAGAGGCCCGTGCACCGCAA